CCCTCGGAGTGCGGGGCTCCTGTGCACTCCTTGGGACACAGCGTGAACCTCGATCACCCGCCCACGCCGCGCTGAAGCTGCACGGAGTAGGTCTTCTGACTGCGTGCCCAAAACCTGGCATTGTATTATAGGTACACCTCCCCTTCCTTCACCTGCATCTGCTGGACACGAAGCGCCCTGATGGGGCTCTCCCAATAAGTCCCAGCTGTCACCAAAATGTCTCTCAGCCCTTTGCATTGTTCCAAGGAGAGCTTTGCTGTAACCACCTCTTCTGATGGATCGGTGACGGGGCCACTCCTGGCTCAGCGGCTGCGGGTCTCCTCAACCGCCCTGGCGTGGGTGGGGCTGAAAACGCGGCTTTGCCCCCCTTTGTTCTTGTTGAAGTGCTTGCCACAACCAGGAGGGGGCTCCTGCCTCGCCTCCCTAGGTGGGGGCGCCCGACGTAGAGCGAATAGGCCCCACCCAAGTGCTCCCTGACCCCGCAGCCAGGCGGAGACCCAGAAGGACTTCGAGGGGCGTTTTTGTTTTTTTACCCTTGCTGAGGCCTGACCGGGCTGGCCAGCCGGTGGCGCGGCAGAGGGGTTCTAGAGCGAGACCGCCTTCCACTTCGAGACTTGCGAGACCTCTTGCGCCCCTGGCGGCGCGAGCTAGGCGACTTCTTTGAACGATCTTTGTCATTCTTCTTGGACTTCTTTTCCTTCTTGATGGCGGCTGCTGTAGAGGGGGCTGATGGCTCAGGTGGGACGGCTGGCGCTAGAGTGTCCTCACCCGCTGGCCCAGGTGCAGAGGTGGTGGCGGCACTGGGGGAGCCTTAGGAGTGGCCCGCTCACTCTTCACGTCAGGTGGGGGCGGCGGCTGGCCCTTCCCACCCGGCACTCCTCCGTAATGGGTGCTTGGCACAACACCCCGGGCGAGCTCACCACAGTCCAGCAGCTCCGACACCCAGACCTGCAACCGCAGAAGCACCTCAGGCTGTCTCCCCGCCGGCACCTGAGGACTCCTGACAATGGATACCAGGCGGTCCAAAGTGTGGCAGACCGCACACAGGTTCCCCCCAACAATAGGCCACTTCCCTCCGCAAGAGGGGCAGGGGGAACCGGACATCAACCCTTAAACTTAAGCCGAAATGCTAATCAGAAATTATGATCATGTGAGTCTTTAAACCCGGAGTCATCATATACATAATACATATATAATCATATATATATATATATATATGTATTTTAATACTTCAACGCTGCAATTCTTCCATTTGACGCCGAGCCAAGCTTCGTCAGTGTCCTGCCAGTGGAGCCGCAGCTCCCCAAGGCCACGGTTCTCCAGGCCCTTCTCCACCAATTCGTTCTGCACGCGCTTAGATCAACGCAGCTCACCGTTTGAAGCAGCTGTTTAGGCATTTTTCTGGCAATATTATGGTATATGAAATGATTTAGCATGTTTCTTCACAATGCATGATGACTCCGAACCAAAAGAAGAAACGACCACTGAGCCATCCAAACAGTATGGCATCTCTGACCCGGCCGTACTGGCTGAGTGGCTGATTAGCTGATTGGCTGATTGACCGCGCGAACAAATCTCAACAACGCGCCCTCAATCAAAATCCGTATGCAGTACACGTATACATCCATCAAATGTTTCCATGTAACCAAATTGAGATTGCATGCAAAGCACACATCATCATATAATGCGGTTCGGAAAACTTGATGCACCATTGCTAATCTGAACTTTCCAGTAAACCTGCTTGTCCATTGTTGTTGTCCGTTGTTGTTGTCCGTTGTTGTTGTCCGTTGTTGTTGTCCGTTGTTGTTGTCCGTTGTTGTTGTCCGTTGTTGTTGTCCGTTGTTGTTGTCCGTTGTTGTTGTCCGTTGTTGTTGTCCGTTGTTGTTGTTGTTGTCCGTTGTCGTTGTCGTTGTTGTTGTTGTTGTTGTTGTTGTTGTTGTCCGTTGTTGTTGTCCGTTGTTGTTGTCCGTTGTTGTTGTCCGTTGTTGTTGTCCGTTGTTGTTGTCCGTTGTTTTGGTGTTGTCCGTTGTGTTGTCCGTTGTTGTTGTCCGTTGTTGTTGTCCGTTGTTGTTGTTGTCCGTTGTTGTTGTCCGTTGTTGTTGTCCGTTGTTGTTGTCCGTTGTTGTTGTCCGTTGTTGTTGTCCGTTGTTGTTGTCCTTTGTTGTTGTCCGTTTGTCCGTTGTTGTTGTCCGTTGTTGTTGTCCGTTGTTGTTGTCCGTTGTTGTTGTCCTTTGTTGTTGTCCGTTGTTGTTGTCCATTGTTGTTGTCCATTGTTGTTGTTGTCCATTGCTGTTGTCCATTGTTGTTGTCCGTTGTTGTTGTCCATTGTTGTTGTCCATTGTTGTTGTCCGTTGTTGTTGTCCATTGTTGTTCATTGTCGTCCATTGTCGTCCATCGTTGTCGTTCTTCTTCTTCTTCTTCTTGTTCTTCCTCTTCCTCCTCCCCTTCCTGTCCTTTCTGTTGTTCTCGGTCTTGTTGCTGCTTCTGCTGCTATTTGCTGTTGCAGTTGTGTTGTTCTTGGTGAACCAAAGCTACATCGCCTTTACAAACGACTCCCCTTTCAGGTGTTCAAAACAGCTGAAATGATGGGTGCCTTGAAGAGGTTCCAGGCATTCAGCTGACGGCGCTCCAGGCATTCCAAGTAAGGCACTGCATGGCTGAGCTCCTGCAGTACAAGTGTACAACTTCAGATTCAAAACACGAGGAAAAATAAGAAGGGTGCTTTTTCCGGCGAAAAAATGTAATACCGGTTGATTGGATTTAGTACAGGTACAGTGATAGATCCAGGTACTCTGGTCGCTTCTAAGAATGACTGGATGCTGGATGCATCAGGGGGGTTCTTGCCACTGGTCCGAACGATGATAGAAGGCGCTGCCCAATGCGGTGCTGGGCTCAGTTGCTGTTTGACAGAATGAGACAACTGCGCGAATCCACAAGAATTTTTGCAGTGAACAGTGGCATCTTAAATCCTGACACCTCACTCATGATTTGTGAAATCTGTGTTCGTAAATCTATGTAAACCTCCCAGTGAATCAGTGCCTCGGGAAACAAATGGCTGGTTGAAAGTCATCGAGCTTTCAAAATCATGTCTTAGGGATACAATATTCAAATTTATAGAAGTTATTCAGTCACTATGTATGTGTCAACAAAACAGTGTCATGAAACAGCTGACCTGGCTAATGAATTCCTCGGAATTCATGGGGCCTGTAAATTCAAATCCCATTGGAACACTGAGTCGAAACCCTTGTGTCTGGTGACTTTGCTGTTGTACTTGAGCAACCTTGCACTGGCACTCGTGTCCGATTCGTTCGGATACATTTTGATTCATGTCACATTACTTGAACTCATGTTGATCCGTTTTGGAAGATTTTGCGTTTACGTTGCCGTTTCAGATGTAAATTGGTAGTTGAAGAAAACGTATCATTTTTTCTGGGGCAAGCGCAAATTTCCCAAGCAGAAGGGTCTTCAAAGACAAGGTAGTGATTTCCCACGACAACTTAATACACGGATAAAAACTGATGTCAATAAATGTGACGAGAACCAAAATGAATCACAATATAAATGTACTTCAAAAATGTCTATGTCAACAAGTCAAGGAGAATGATGAAACGTGCAAAAAGTTGACGACGGACAGCGAAGGCTACGGGAAGTAGGAAGTAACAAGCTCATCTTACCATGTTTGGAGAAGAAAGTGATGAACACACTTGATGTTAGAATAACAACAACTCTGTCTAGATATCCTCAGCGGCATTGTTTTTCAGGGATAGGCCAATTCAACCTAACCATGTTAAATTCACGGGTGACGGATAGTCAGCCGACATCTAACATCGTACCCGATCCCGAAGAGCTTTAGCACAAGATCGCTGCACATCTTTGCCACGTGATCTTTGGATGCATTTGTTGCGGCAACAGTGTGATGTGAGAGCACCAAGCGGAGGCAATGTAGATCCCATTTCATGATTTCCGTCATCAAAATTACACTCAAAGATCACTGTAGAAACGTGTAGAAATGTGCACATTGTGATCGTATACAAATGCACACATATACGTCTATACACAATATATATATACACATATGTCTATATCCAGATATACATATCTAAAAATATTGCTATATTTACATGTATACAAACATACAAACATACATAAAATAAATATATATTTATATGTACCCGAGGGGCGGGGACTTCTCCAACGGGGTTGGGTGGGGTGGGGTGTGGCACCTAAAAACGTTCGTGTCCCTTACGTCTCAATAACATACTTAGTTTTCTCATGTAACTTCTAACATGAACTTGGTGCTACGCGATTGACTTACTCATGTAGCTTCGAACACGCGCTTGATGCTACGGTAACTTGTAACATGGACTGGGTGCTACCCTCTTCAGTTTGCCATGTCACTTTTCAACATCCACTTGATGCTATGCTATTGACTTACTCATGTAGGGTCTAACACGCGCTTGATGCTACGTTAACTTGTCACATGGGCTTCGTGCTACCCTCTTCAGTTTGCCATGCTACTTTTCAACACCCACTTGATGCTACGCTCTGAAGCTTACCTTCATTTGAGCTATGGCAACTTACACTGGCTATGGCGATAGTAACTTTGACAACTTATTTGGCATCTATTTGGAACTCGAAAGGGAAGGGTCAGCTCCCAACTCCAATTTCTTCTCTGGTCAGGATTTAATGGAGTGTGTTTTGCACGTCCGAAGCACTCCACATCACAATTCGATAAGACAAGTCTGAGCAAGTGTTTATCTATGTCTTTTTGTGTTTATTTATTGAGTTAGTTTGTTATTTTTTGTTATTTTCTGTTTTTATTCATAGTTATAATTATGTATTCATACATACATAAACGGTATATGCTTTTCTTCTGTGCGCTTTGGAAACATTTCGACGGCATGCCAGTGCAACATTTCATCGTGAAGGACATTGACCCGCCGAACGTCGCTGAACCTATGAGCTCTGACGTGTTCTGGCAGATCCGGAAAAATGCTTTGAACTTCTGAGCTTCTTAATCTATGCTTTCCAGCTTTCCGGACTCCTCCACATGGCGCCGGAAGGTATTTTTGAAGGTCTCCGCCTCCACCTGATTTTTGAGACGTACAGCCGACGGCCAAGAAATGGAGAGGTGGAGAACCTTCTAAAGCACATTCTAATTTTTCTAGCATTGTAAAAATGAAAGCAACGATGATGATGCTGATGCTTATGCTGATGATGATGATGATGATGATGATCACATAGACGACATTCGACAAGAAAACTATACACATCGCACCATGCTGCGCTATACTTTGCTATACCTCGCCTTTTCGCCATTGACTCGCACCGAGTTGGGGTTGTAGACATTGCGAAAGTACAACGCCTCTGTGCCATAGATGGGCTCCCTGATGCATTTCTGCGAGACCTCAGGGCCACACCTTTCTGAAACAGTTCTCTATCGCTTCCCATAGTTTCCCGGTTTTTGCATTGGATTCTTCATGTGGGCAAAGATT